GGATACATTCACATCAGGGAAAAATTCATATACCGTGAAGAAAAATAAAATTATCTTGCTGTCGTGGAAGAAAGCAAAAGTCATCTTCGAAGGAAAAGCTATATATAGGCTGTCAGATGTTGAGGAAAAAGAAACTAAAAATTAGGTTTATATTTGTGGTGGAACAATAATTCATTTTATTAAAAAAGTACATTAAAACCCTAATTATGTAATTTTACTTAAGGCTATTTAAACAAATAAGAAAAATATTAAAAATCGTGGTGCACTCAATAAAATTTGTAGTGGTAATATAATTACCCTTTAATTAATTAGGTTTCATAAACACTTCACAATTAATTAGTTTATTAGTATGATAATTAAATTAGTTATAGGTTTAAGTAGTTATTATAAATTTCAACTAATTTTAATATTTAGTTCTCGTGGAAACGATAACTTGAATTTTAGATTCACTTTATTACTTGTTTACGATCCCAAAATTATAGCGCTACACATCTTAAAATGAGTTTTTATTTTTGTTTTTTGGATATGGAAACATTCCATAACCTAAAATGACTCTTCCTTTAGTTCTAATCCATATCAAACTATTTTAATATATGAATAGCACACTAGAACATGTGATACGTACGTCCAATTAAATAATTAGTTCCACTGCAGCCAATAAATTAAAATCTCATAATTTATTCCGATTATTATTTTGAAGCCATCGTATGGATGTAACCGGACTCAATTAAATTAAGCTACAATAAATTAATTTTCACCTAGTCAACTCTCCATCGATTGAGATGATTTATTAATCTCATTCTATTCCACTAAATGCAATGGAAAAAGTGGTGGTGCGACGATGACAATGCAGATATGTTATTGTAGTAGTGATAATGGTGGTGGTGAAAATAGATAGTGGTGTCAATGGATCAGACGAGCCAAGCTCGCCCACGAGCCTGTAAATATATGTATGACCAAACAGCAACGTTGTGTATATATTTTGCTGTGTATATAAGTCATAATTTGTCCTACTTAGTTGGAAACCCATTTTTTAACTCCACTGCAGGTTAGTAGACATTAAAGGTTTTTTCCAATATAAATTAATAAGAATTAGAGAGATGCTTGGTGTAGAGCACAGGTGTACACCAAATTACACAGCTCTATCACAACAATAGTGGGGCCCATGATTATAAAATAATCGTGGGGTCAACGATTGTGAGAGAACCGTGTACAAGGTTGTACACTAATGCAATACAAACAATATTTTTCCTAAGAATTAATCTATTTGTACAGGATTCTATACATTGTTTTTTGTTTTTTACTCTGCCCAACTCCCAATGAAATAACAATCATGCTCCACTACCATCTTGGTTGACAGCTTGGTTGACATTCTCTAATAAAAAGACATAAATATCCATCTTCTTATTCTTTAGTCAAATCAAGGT